GTGTGTGTGTGTGTGTGTGTGTGTGTGTGTGTGTGTGTGTGTGTGTGCGCGCGCGAGTGTGTTGGGTTTTCCGTATCATCATAATTTAATTTTTGCAACCAGTTTGATACTAACATTGATTGGAAATCACATAATGTGATAAAAATTAAAACGAAATTGTCGCAGTTACATACGAATTCAAAAAGTCCACTGTGCAAATTTGTCACGAAACGATAACAATGACCGAGCGGGTTGTTTGTCTACGTTCCTAGCGGGCGTCCGGCGCGGCTGAACGGGAGATGTAATTAAAAAAAACTCATTTCCACTGTATGCCCGTAAAATAAAAATACCATAGACACAAATAAATCGATCTTTATCTTTATCTTTACTACTTAAAAGTAAGTGTGATGAAAACGAATTTTGTACACATTTGGCAGATATGCTTATCTAGGTACATGTTTACTTATTATTAATGAGTAGGCGTTGTAAAGCGATCATAATGATTAACGAAGTCGTTCCTAAAGAAAAACCTTTCGTGGAAAGCTCCACTCCTGATCAATTCAGGATTCTTCGCAACTGTGAATCTTGTTTTTGTGTGTCAGATTGTTCTAGTAATGAAGCTTTTTTTTCAGCCCCAGAAGAAGGTCCGTCATCAGTAGAATGTGGTGGCGTAACATCTACTGCTCTCAGAGTCAGTTGGCAACCAATACCGCCTCACAAACAGGCTGGAGCGTTAATAGGATATACCGTTTTGTATGCAGCTCAAGGTACAATTGTTTTATGATTGTTTTGCTAAAACTTATCAATAACGTTTACCAAAATGTTAGCGTTTAGCTCGAACAGTTTTAAATCAGTTTTTATATCAATCAATATTTCAATTTCAGGTACAATATTCACGTTATTGAAATTGTTAAATATGTCAAAAATAATTTTTATTTATCATTTGAATCTTAGAATAATAACGCATAGAATAAAAAAAAAATCAAATTCATGTAGGCTAGTTTTAGTATGAGGTTAATTTTCGGTTTTAGTGAATATTTATCTAAAAATACAAGTTGAAACGCGTTACTTCCTTGTGGAATGTGATGTTAGTATCTATTTTATGTTTGTCTGACGTATTTTTACACTCTCATTTACCGTACATTTCATCATTTTTAGCTAAAATTCTTGATCTATTCGCGGTGCAAGTTGACCTTGAGCACTGAAGGCCCGCCCGCTCGTGTAGGCCCATTGGGCGCGCTTCAATTTGCCTCACTTAGCGTGTGCGGACTAGGTTTCTATGCGTTATTATTCTAAGATTTGAATTTATGTCTCAGTATCTTTAACCACATAGAACATGCGTACATAATCAAAGCCTTTCGAAAATCGTGATTTTTCTAGTAATTTTCTGCATTAATCAAAACAATAGTTAGTTTCTTGACTAACATCAACTTTCATTGTAAATTGGAAATCAAACTTTCCAAAGTTCTCGAAAATCAATTATAAACAATTAAAGCAATCTAACCACAAACTAGTAACCAAGCTAACAAAGACAATGTTTCCAGGGCGACATTGGCTCAACGCAACGTCTCTGGTCACAGAACTTCGATTGCAAGGCTTGTTAAAATACACCAACTACACAATCAAAGTGGCTGGCTTCTCAAACTATGGAACCGGGCCGTTCTCGTTCCCCATTGTGTGCTCTACGATGCAAGACGGCAAGTATTCCTAACTTAGTAGTCCTAAGTAACACGAAACTAATTTGAAATAATAGTGTCAACTCATCCTTTACGTTGAACCCAAAATTTGCCTTAGTAAATAGTACGTTTATGGTCATTTACATGCTGAACCTTTAACGCGTTGAGACTGGCGTGTCCCACCGATGAAGCAGGGACAGCTCGTCCATCAGGCGCAGTGAACCACCGGTGGTCACACAACACTTGACTTTTGGTATGCTAAGAACCCACGCCGCCTTGAGCGAAAGTGGTAAATTTAAAGTTCTCATCCTGTGCAACAGTCAAATTTTCATAGCGTAGCTCCGGTGTTGGATATTGTGTCAAACAGTAAAAAATCAAGGTTAAAAAAGTATTTATTTGAAAAATGAACTGGAAATGTACTTAATAGAAAAATGAAAATAAACATAGCAAATTATTTCTATGAATTGTATTAAACAGCCAGAACTGCCAAAAAAACGTTTACTTAAGACAATAGGTTAATGAGGTATGCACCGGTGGCGCACCCAGCCCCGACACATTTGGTTGATGAGACGATGATGTACCATCGGTGGACATGTGAGAATCTTTCCCGCCGGACAGAAAATAATGGTAACTTTATTCCCGGTCTGAACGTGTTCAGGAATATTGTCATGGTTTTTTAATACTATAATTATGAATAGTTTCTATTTTTTTATAATAAGTGAGGAGAAGAATACGAACTTCTGTAAACACATTCCTTGAATGCAGTACATATTTCGCTATCTCCGGAGAACAAAATGATAATCGCAACAAAGTAATATTTCAGGAAAAATAAAAAAACATGTTTTCATAGATAAGTTCTTAAACACTGAACGTAGGTAGATTAATAGTTAGCTTTAAGGAAAGAATATTTTTGTGCATTCTACATACATATATTATAAATGAAGCCGCAAGTTAAGCCAAAATTGAGATATTTCAATAATAAATAATTAGTCAAAATCAATCATCATGTTGGATTTATATTGTGGATCATCATTTTATTCTCGTTGTGTCTGAGCCGAAAACAAGTATGGCACCGTTGACTTATCGTTTTATTCTACGGGTTGCAATAGTACAAGTGGCGAAGATAATAATTACATATCATCTTATTCTCGTAAACACAGTAAGATATTTTTTTGGAAAGGTCTTTTATTCTGCTGTTACAATGAAACCATAATATGATGATCAAGTTTTGCTTTATTATACGAACAGCCCGAACAGTTTGAAAAGGGAATGAAGTACGTACAATAACTGCGTGTATCGTTATTTTTAGGAGAACATAATTCTATTGTCATTTGTCATATTAAGAAACGTAACATATATATACATAACCATATATCATATAATTACATAACCTTATTCTTGTACACTTGGGCTTGGGTAGAAAATTTTAATGTTATTGTATTATTTTGTTATTCCGTAGGTAACTGCTTAAAATTCACGAAAAAAAATTGGAAAGATGATTGGTACCTAAAGATCTTAAATATGATATAACACTAAAACAGTGATAATGGCAGTTAACTTTTTGTTCTCCGGGGATGGCGATGTAGGCGGCATCCGCGATTGCTCTGATCACTTCGCACGAACTCGCACCAAGGGGAAACCCTCGTCCGTAGTAATGCAGACGCGTCCGTAGCGGTGCATGGATCAGCGAATAGCGAAACATGGACGGGGCCGCGGCCGATGCGTGGCGACGGGTTGTCGTTCTTTAATTGGTTGGCGGTCTTTGGCCGTGCAAGGAAATTTGTAAAATCAAATACGCACATTACAGCAGCTTTGGAGTATATTTTACGTGCTTTAGATATTCATTTGCTGTTGACTTTCGAAACAAAATAAAAAATTGTAATTTCATCCATTATCCGGGCTCGAAGTAGAGACTTCCCTATACTTGTTACATACAAACAGATTTTTTGTTCAAAGTTGAAAAGTATGACAACACAAGGGATTTAATCTGTACGTCCATCTATGTCATCCAACTTAAAGTTCCCACTCAGTTCCAAGTACAGTGAGTTCTACTTAAACTTTAGTTTGCCCGCGTCTTTGTACGTTGTGAGTTTGTCAAAGTTTAAGGTTGGGACTTGCCAAGTATTATTAAGATTGTCGTTTATTATTTTCAATTGTTCTCTTGTCTTAAAAGTTTTTGCTATAGCCGTAGTTTTCTTTGTAGAGGCAGTCCAAGGAATAACTAAGTAACTAGTTATTGTTAGTGCAAATTGTCCATTTTCATCCTTTGCAATTATTTTATGTTAGGTATAATTTTAATACAAAGATCAAACGAATGCTGAAGGCATACCGTGGTTCGAATCCAGCCCGATCGAAGGAAATTTTCTTAGTGTTCTTTGTACTATTAATGGAGTAATTTTCCATAAATAATTGAGTAGTAAAACATGGTGATATTCAATGAACTTAATATTACAACTATTTTATGGTTTAAGACATTTTCTGTAAAGAAAACAAACTCACTCGTTAATAGAGGGTGCTTACGTGTTGACAAAATATGACGGTATACAAAAAAAAAATGTGTTCCAGTGTAATAAAAATTACGATAATATTTTTGCATTGCGTACCATTTGCCATGGAACGTATAATTGCATATCTTAATCGAGTCTCTATTTAATTTTCAGCTTTTTGAATTTTCTTTTCAGCCTGTTAGGACCTTGATGTAGTAATAGTTTTCGGCATAAATCAATTATGTTTTAATTAAAAACTGAAATAATTACGGATAATTTGATAATTATACGTAAGTATTTTAATTACACTTTAATTACACACATTCACATCTGTTGATCACTTATTTTATAAAGTGTATTGTGGATATCGATTTTAATTCTTAACATTCAAACTTTAAGATGTATTGTAAACGCATATTATTTTTTTTATAACAGTGCCCGAAGCACCTGCAGAAATAAAGCTGCTGTCACAATCATCGAACACAATCTTGGTTAGTTGGAAGAAACCTAGACAACCGAATGGAAGGTTGCTACATTACACTGTTTATTACAAACCAACTGCAAGGTAAGAAATAAACTTTGTGATAACGTGTAATCTGAATTAATGTGCCAGCCAAAAATGTCACTTATAACTTTGAGACATTATTGTGAAAAATAAAATCTTAATCACGGACACAATATTGACTATTAATATTAATATACTATGTATATATATATATATATTAATATTAATATATATACATATATATATTAATAGACTAATAATATTATATTTTATTTTATTTCTATTGTAATGGTAAAACAGATTACAACACTATTTTAAAACAATACAAGGGAAAAACATCAGTAAATCTGCAATGAGAACTGTACACAGCATTCAGAAACAAGAAAATACAAGCGTCTGACACGGTTTGCTAGAAGACGTCGGTGTGAATCCGGCCGGATTGTAGGAATTTTTTCTAAGTGTTCGTCTATTTCGTTCGTAATCTTTGTATTAATAATTATAAGAAAATACAAATTGTGTGATTTTGTAAATGGTAAAAAGAAAACAAAACAAAATTACCTATTATTTAAAACTAAAATATGTAGAGGATGGATATTTTAAAATACTAAGTTCAGTTAACTGTTTGGTGATAGACTTTTTGAATATATGAATGCTATCATGGAATATGTCATGGTTACCACAAATTTGATCGTATGATTTACACTTTCGGTAAATAGGGCTATTTGCAGAAACATTGTTACTATTAAAAACTTGAGCAAGTATTGACAATGTAAGAGACTTTCTTTGATTTTGACCTGCAAGCACGGGTATTTAGTACCCGTGGTATAATAAAGCCACATGTGATCATACGTCAAAAATGCTTTTCATCATACGACAATCATAAACACAATATGAACTACATGACACTAATTACAAACATGTGAAATTTTATAACTATCACATATTAAAAAGTTTCGACTAATTACGTTCATAGAATATTTAAACCTCCCTTCTCAAAAGTTGTCATTTTACAGATGTGGCCTTATTACACCATGGATGTGTTACATGGTGTTAGCGCTGACTTTATCGCTAAATGCCAGCATCTAAATGCTAAACGGGGTAATAAAAATATCGTAGATAATTACGCGCAAGTGTGAAGTGACTTCCTGGAAACAATCTAATAAATATAGAAATACATAGTCTCTATTGATCCGTAACAATCGAGGTCAAACAACTTCAAAATACAGCAAAAAAACTCTCGTAGAACATTATTCATTCCTATAAAATATAGTCTGAAATAGAAAATCCCGAACATTTTTTTTTCTAGCAAACTGCCGGACGTAGAATTTATTTGAAAATTTTCCGTTTAAAAACTGAAAAGCGATAAAGTTAACTCGCAAATAGTCGAATCAGACTGTAAACTAAAATCAGGGAACTGAAATTTAATTCCATTTGAATACTTTAAATAGTTTCATTATTATGAAAATGTTGTTTTCATATGAAAATGCTAGTAGTTTATTTTTGATAGCGGTTTCGTACATGGAAGTACTGCCACCGTATCTATTTCTGCCGCCAAATAATTAGATTTAAATATAAAATAAGGTAAGTCTTTAATTCGTGAAATTGAGCTGACATCGCACACCAGTAGGTCTAGCACGATACGGCGCGACTTGAGCGAGAGCAAGATAAAGCGCGAGATACTGTTATTCTCGCATAGAAATCACGCGATCTACGTCGCGCTCGCGCAAGTCGCACTCTATATATTCTCTTAGCCCTGACTGATGCGACAAAAGACTTGTACGGAATTAGTATGAGTTTGGCATTTTATTCCCAGAAAAATTTAACCAGCCTCAAATTTTTTGCTAGATATAAACTTGAAATAGAGCTTAGCAAAATAATAAAAAAAATTGTGACCTGCATAATTTTATCCATTTATTTAAAGCAAAAGTGTGGTAGATATGTTAAATTAATTACCATCATCACTGCTATACTAAAAAAAGTCCAAAAAGCTGCAACACTTAAACGCTAAAATATTCAAAATCTATTCTAATCTAATTGGCTAATTAAATTTTAAAAAAATGACATTGACATCCGATTTGTCAATATTTTTTATGGTATTGATCACGGGCCCACTAGTCAAAAAATTACATAAAAATCCGTTCCGTTTCGTGTGATTGCGTTCCGTTTTACTTTACATGGTATTAAAAATCCCTAAGGACCGCTTTTATTATAACATCATCGGGACGAACAAGTCGTGCGCCTGATGGTAATCTACATTCCTGTCCATAACAGTTACAGTGCCACTCAGAGCTTTAAATTGCAAAGATCTGAGGGGCACTACCACTGCGCCCGTCACCCTGAGACATAAGTTGATAAATCCCACGTGCCTGTAATTTCACCAGCACCCTTCAAAACCGGAACACAGTAATGCTGACATTACTACTTGGCGGCAGAAATAGGTAAGGTGGCAGTACTACCATGGACGAACTCTTACCCAAGGAGCTCTACTGCTACTAAATTCAGACTAGATTTTGAGATCCCTTTACAAAAAACAAACTAATAGCCTGGTTAAATTTTGCATTTATTTTACTACCACTAAAGGAACAATTCCTTTCTTTTTCGTCAACAACTAGTTCTTCGTGTGCATCGTTAGATTTATAAAAGATTCTACATCACAGCGTTCTTTTCAGCAATGATGGGCCCCAAACGATAAGAGTAGACTCGATACAATTAACAGAAGCCTATGAAAGAACGCAAACTTTAGAATTGAAAGGCTTGGACACTGGACAGCAGTACGACGTGTGGGTAACTGCTAGTACCGCAGTGGGAGAAGGACCGGAGAGTCGACGAGTTAGTAATACACCTTCGCAGAGAGGTGAGTATTATAAGACAAGCAGTGCAACGCCCGTCAAGGCCTACACTAATTTCGGAGCGTAGGGTTGTCACAATTATTATTTTAATTGCAACTACAGGTTGTAAACACAATTTGAAAAAATGAGGTCTTCATGACATTATTCTCATGCAATATTGTAATAAACTTTGTTAAATGCAGTACCTACGTATTGATATTTTTTATAAGCATCGCGGATTGGTATCTCGATTATGGTAATTCTGAATTTGAAGTACTCTTGTCTAAACAACACATTCATATACATGTCTATTATTTGATGAGATTTTTAAACACCGAGCAAACGCTCCAATTCTATAAAGAATGGCGCGTGAGACGACCCGTGCTGTACTGCGCCTGGCGAGATTATGCAAACATTCACTTTCGCGTCCGAACACAGTGGGCGGTGGGCGTGCCAAGAAGCCGCTTTGCAACGTTTGCATGAAGTTAGGCAGTCACCAAACTTATTAACGCGGAATCGTCTCGTTGCGATCGTGTTTGTTTGCATGTCGTCGCACGACGGCACGTCGTCGGCATGCATACGGATGTGATCGGAAATTCGCAAAAAGGCGATTCGTTGCTGACCTGTGGCGAGCCGCGTTCATACGAACCGCTGCGAAATGCACGTCTTTTTCGCTCTACGCTTATGGACATATAGCTTTTTTTGCCCGGTTTTATGCGATTCTAGTTAATAAGCGTGGTAACTCCCTAACACTACATGGCTAATGGGATCGATAGGTACAGAGACATAGTGCAGATTTACACTGTATCGTGTTTATGACCTGTATTAATCGTTGTATAATTACATGCTATTCTTCGAGGTTAATATGAATCTGTTATCAGCCTAACTCGTAATTCCCATACAGTGGTAGCAGGAGTAGCCTCCCTCGGAGGAGAAGTGACTGTGGCAGTAAGGAATTCTCTTCTTCTGGAATGCAAGAGTGTCGGATCACCACCACCACGTACCGTTTGGTATCACAACCAGAATATCATAACGCATCACCCGCGATTTACGAGAAACAGGGATGACAGTCTATTGATTAAGAGTAAGTAGCCCTTTCAAAGTATTTTTATTTGACATTAACCTGACGTATTTTAGGTGTGACTACTGTCACTAGAAAATATTGCACGAAATATGCATAATCGTTTCATGTCCACTAATTGCGTACAATGGGTTGTATGGGTTCGTCAAGGAACCCTACTGAGACCGACATTACTTACTGTATACAGAATGAGCATAACAAAACACCAAATAAACTATAGAGATATCTACATCAATGCAACATGAGAGAATTATACCACAAACGTGAGAGCGTGTAAACTAACATAACATACGAGTAGGTATTATGTGAAACTAACTTAAGTTCCTGTAACTACAACTCCTGTGGGATGTATATGCGACCATATTAATGGGCCTAAGTTTGTCAGCGAACGGTTGTTACTGCGAGATTTGTTGCGTTGATTAATACTGAAACTCCGTAAACGATGCACTTGAGAATTTCGCGTATAGTGTTGTAATTTGTGTTAAAATGGAGTACGAGGCACCTTTAAGAACCTAAATGGAAATATAATTCGTTATGGTTGACGGATCTAGCAGCATGTTTTAACATTTGCCTATTTACGAAAACGACTTGGAAACAACTTAGAAATTCTGAAGATATTCACGTTTAAACATGTTTCGCTTTACTTACATTGCACCTTCACTGCGATCGCCAGCCCACTTACTAATCAGGGTTCTTGTGCAGAAATATTTTTTGGAGAGATCTACCTATATTCAATAATGTATGCTGACTCTTTTTCAACCACTAATTATATAACCAAAATTGAAATAACCATAAACATTTTCATAGGTATCGACCAATCCTTAAGCGGAAACTACACATGCTTAGCCAAGAACTTATACGGGTCAGATTCAGTAGTGTACTCGGTAAGAGTATTACCTTTACCTGATCCTCCATCATTGAGAGCTACGCCGTATAAGGATACTATAGTGGTCGAGTGGGATGAAATCAGGACTTATGGAAATGATTCTATGGGTGGTATAAGTAAGTTTACTTCCTTTCATAAGTTTCTTTCAGTTATTGTGATCTGTATATCGTCTGTGGATAGGAAGAAAGTTTAAAAAATGACATTGAGCAAAAATGAGTCATATAGATAAATAATATAAGTGAGACTTCACAGGATTGCAAGGTGGGTATTGTGTGGAGATATCTCTTTTTTCTTCTAAAAATATTTTATACATCAAATTTGTAATAAGTATGGAATTATACTAAATTCTGTATATCCCATTTCCACACTTTCCACCAACGATTTTGGGCAGAAATGGGTTGACATATAGATCATATAGATTTGAATTGTTTCTTGGTTTTGTAGAGATCTAATCGCTATTGGCGCTTCGGTAATCCGATAATTCGTCACTTACTTAGGGTATTTTTTAACTTCAGAGTCGCTTTGAAATTTTAAAATTTCATTCTGTCAGGTACATAAGGCGTTTCAGACTGCATAGCTTTCCTCTTACGATGTATTGTTAATAACAGCCCTATATTATGTTAAGATTAGTTTATGGTATTTTGTATATATAATGAATACACAGAGAAATATAAAGTAAATTGTTAATATACTGAAACGAATATAGAATCGTCAATTATAAGTTACTTTTAGAGTTTTAATTTACAGATTTTGTTTTAATAATGAAGGGTTTGTGTTATGAGCATTTTACGTTCTGTAATAGTATGAGATGAGTTGAATCATGAAAAGTAGCTTCTCAACTAATATTGGACTAGAAAAGCGTGACTTTAGCTTACATATTATGGCACATATTAAAGTAATACTATTACAGCTGAGGGCATTTATCTTGCCCCATTTGGGACGTTATTACTTCTGTTAATGAACATAAGATGGATTGTAAAGAATTCCAATATTGTCAAGTTAGAAGATAGAAGTATCTTCTAACTCATCTATACACGAAACTTAATTTGGAGAAAATTTTAAGATTTTGGAGTTACGCCTTTCGTTAGGCTAAGATGTGGCAATGAGTAAAGAAATAATATTATGAATTGTCACTTCCAGGTTATAATCTGACTTGGAGGGAAGGTGACGGTGTCTGGCAAGAAGCCTGGCCAGTGGCAAGGGAAACAAGACTACTAGGAATCCAACAGCATACACTTACTGGCTTAAAGTGTGGTACAAAGTACTCTATAAGAGTAACAGCTACTGACAGTATTGGAACTTCCGCGCCTGCACATATTGATGTCTCTACTTTGGGTGGCCGTAAGTTGCTTGTGTTTTTCATCAGCAAGCATTAACATGTCCCTAGATGTTTACAAGGCGTCTAACGGCTATGGGACACACAGGGAAAGTACCTTAAATATTGCATCTTATGTAAATTTGTATAAAACGCTAAATAGTACTTCAGGAAGATAGTCAATTAGTAACACGTTGCCATACAACCGTATTCTTTGTTCAAATGTTCGTGACACTCTCCACCAGGAAGGAGCCGGAAGGTTCGATTAAGCATATACTTTCAGTAGCAGTAGAGGTCCTTGTGGAAGAGTTAGGGAAGTACTGCCACGTTACCTATTTCTGCCGCCAAGCAGTAATATTAGCATTACTGTGTTCCGGTTTTGAAGGGTACTGGTGAAATTACAAGCACATGGAACTTGTCAACTTATGTCTCAGGATGACGGATAACGGACGGGATTATTTAAGAAAGATGGTCATTTAGTAATACGTTGCTATGCGACCGTATTCTTTGTTCAACTGTTCGTGACAGATAGTTGGTATTATAGAGACGTTATTTTTTTTAAGTTAGTAATAATGTTTGAATGTGACATTTTTAAAAGTTGCTTGTCTTATCTGAGAATCAAACCGACCAAATGGAAAAAAAATCCGGATTTTCATGATGCCGATCGAAAGGGTCAATTATATGAATTAATTCGTTATAAGTAACATAGTATTTTAATTTAAAGGAACACCGTTCAATTATACAATTTATTCAGAAAAAACTTGGAAGTTGTCGATGTATCTACGATGATTGCAAGAAATTTATTAAATGTTCAAAATGCATGCAAATGCAAATGTTCTTGTTGGTATGTAAATTCTCAATATTTTGATAGGTTCGCTGCCTGTAGATTTTCTTATCTTGTTATATTGGGTATTCGAAATTATACGTCTCAATTCGGTTTTTTACTCGTCCACATGCTTTGTCAAATTGCTTTTTGTGTAATAAATCTTTCACATATCCCCAGGAAAAAATTGTAATAGCGTAGGTCTGCGGAGCTCGCGGCCATCTAATCTAAAAAGATCTGGGTAAGAAAACATTCATTAAGAGACTAGGCTGTTCTACGACTATTAGCGGAGCCTCATCTTGAAACACAAATATTAGCAATAAAAAACCTTACAATTCATTTTCCTAAACTTAAACGTGAAATTTATGGTGTTCCTTTTAAGATACCATATTACATTAAAAAAATTTTCATCCATATAGTTGACCCTTTCGATCAGTATCATAATAAACGTAAATTCTATGAACTTCGAAAACTACAAAAAGTCACTACACTGAAAAGTGAAAAATAACAAAATCCAGATTTAATCCAAACGACAACAAAACCCGTGCTACTTTTCATTTATTTTTGTCTTATTTCGTTTTGTACATGGTATCACAGTTATTTATTAATCAATATAATATCTACATATATGGTTTATTTATACAATTACAACGTGAGAACTATAATGTTAATAAAATATTATTATTTGTATGTGCTACTTCTTCAAACTGATCAATAGGTAGCACACCTATTGATCGGTTTGAAGTTTTACTTTACCACTAAAAAATATTGATAGTTAAATATTACAATATCTAATCAATTTTTCTTTTTGGTGTCGGTGCCAGCATAGGAAATAAAAAGAAAGAAATACCATAATGGATATATCTCTTTACTAAATACTAATACATCTTGCCTTTCAAACGAAAACAAAATTTTCCAAATCGATCAAGAATTGACGATGAAATTGGTGAATACACTGTACACTGCCTATAAAATTTGACAATTTCCACCTATTTCCAAGGGAATTTCCAGATTCTGACTTGGTAACAATGGTACCACCGTTTATTCTGGTTTCAAATAAAAAAAAAGAATTTTGAAAATTGGTCCACAATTGTCAAAGAAATCGGAGAACATACACAAAAAATACATACACTCGAACATAGAACCACCTCCTTTTTTTAAATCGGTTAAAATACAGAGTTTTTTCACATTTCAAATATCCGTTCAATTCCCAGAGATGAGGTAAGCAACTTTTTAAAGTTTTTACATTAAATAGCTTTTAAGTAGCAATAAAGCTCCTTGTGAAAAAGTTTGTCCAAGGAAGTACTGTCACCTAACCTATTTCTGCCTTCAAGCGGTAATGTGAACATTACTGTGTTCCGGTTTTGAAGGGAAAAGGGTTGGTAAAATTAGTCACATGAGACGTGTCAACTAATGTCTCAACTAGTGTCTGTCAGATCTTTACGATTTAAAGCTCTGAGTGGCACTTCAACTGCTATGCACAGGCGTGTCGCTTACCACCAGGCGCACGACTTGTACATACATCCCGTCACTTGGTATCATTTAAAAAAACTTGTTTGTTCGTAAAAATAGAATAACGTCTCCATGAAGCATTTTATCCTATCTACAATATTTAAAGTACTTTCCTTCTAAGTCCAATAGCCGTGGAACATCCTGTGTACACAAATATCCCCATAATCCATTAATATTTTGTCAGGTACAGATTTTTATTTTTTATTTATTTTAATTCTTTTGAAATAGTTCTTATTTGTCTTTTTTCTCATAGCTCCAATGTCTCCCACATCAACTGACTGGCTCTGGAGTAATGCAACCCACATCTACGTCCAGCTGAGTGGCTGGGACGATGGGGGTTGTGACGTCACTAAATGGGATGTTGAGTATAAATTGTTGGGTTCTAACACTTGGTTGAGGGCTGAGAATAGAGCGGTAAGTACCTGCGATTACAATAAAGAAGATTGCTATAAAACATATTTTATCATTGGTCAGGGTCTATAGCCCTAAGACTGTTAATAACAGTTAAGACCATTCTAGAATGAAATGCAGCGAACCGTATCAGAAATGACTCATTAAAAGCCACAGATTTTACTGTATAATTTAATACACTACTATTGGGCCGCTCAAAGAGTCAACGTAGATGTTTTTTCACAGGTTTCATTTCAACTTCTAATAACATCTCAACAAAACCTTCTTTTTCTTTAGCCTCTTGACCTAAACCTGGGCTGGTCGTATATAGAAGGCCACTACCAATCACCGTCTCTCCGTTCCATGCCGACATCCTATGCCGTTGGATCTCTCTCGCCGGCTAACTGGTATCAACTTCGAGTGACTGCTGTGAATGATGCAGGCACGGCTTCTAATGTTTATACTTACGCTACCAAGACTGCGGATGGAGGTAAGTTTTAAACTGCTTTCTTTTCTGCTTCATTATCACAACCAATAAGACATGTGTTAATATTTCATCCAATACTAAAAGTTTTTCTCAATATTTCTGAGAACATTGTCAAGTGTTTTCATCTTGTCTTTTCAATTATGATTTAGGATCCCAACATCGCGTCAATATTTTCGATATTCATGACACGATTTTAGTCTCTTCCTTTGAAAAACTGATAGCCAGAGATTAAAATCATGCCAGTCAATCAATTCTTCCAACTTTAAATATCAAATAGTGGTCTTTTGTTCACCCTGTTAAAACGATATTGGAAATATTCTTTGAACGAAGGCCTATCTGCATTTTCATCTCACTTCTTCCGCAAATGGTTGAAGTATTGTCTATTAAACCGTCAGAATATCATATAAAGTTTGACAAGTCCCTGACTTCGTCAGATTTCTAATAACAAAAGTTTTGATGAGGGAGTCGAGGCGATGCTATTTTATGAATTCTTGAATAAACAATATTGGATAAACATTTCTCTCGGAACATCGTAATTTATTTTGTAAAAGTAGTTAAATAAATGTATAATTATTAAAGAGCTCTATAAAATAACTAAGCAGAATAAGCATTGTTAAAAATAGGTATTCAATTTATTATAATAATAGGGAAATTTAAGTAATCAAACGCTTCTTGTTTTCAAATTGTCGGTACCTAATTTTAGTAGCAGTAGAGCTCCTTGTGAAAGAATTTGTCCAGAGAAGTACTGCCACCTTACCTATTTCTGCCGCCAAGCAGTAATGTTAGCATTACTGCGTTCCGCTTTCGAAGGGTAAGGGTGCTGGTGAAATTACAGGCACAGGGGATTTTTCAACTTATGTCTCAGGGTGACGGGCGCATTGTCATTGCCCCTCAGATCTTTGCAATTTAAAGCTCTGTTTAAAGTTCGTCCCGTCACTTGATATTATAAAAAAAACCTAATAATGCTACTTTGCTATAATGTAATTTTCAATTCTATGTATTGCTCCACATTAAGTTAACTAAGGTCTTAAATAATAGGTCCCTATTACACCCTTTAAGGGCATAGCAATAAAGAGCAAAGGGCACCTATTTTATAAATAAAAACAATCTCTAAACAATTAAACAATCTCAAAAACATAAACTTGCTAGCTGTCTAATGGCGCGTTTACACCAATTCGCCAGGTAACCCTCGCTTGCTCGCCAAAGGTGGCAAACTACTTGGTGTAAATAGTGAGTCGTCAGACGTCGGTAGTTTGCAGCTGAAGTCGGCCGAAACGACTGAGTGCGTCGCTTTCGACAAGGCAAAATAGTCTGCCAAAGGCGGCAGACGACTAGGTGTAAATTGTGTCTGTTATTTTTCATTTTTTCGTACATTTTGAGATATTATTTAATATATTCTCAGTACAGAGTACTAAAAAAAACCGACCTCAAAAGTTTATGGAATTACATCTATTTGTCAAGTTTTATTGAAATCGGTTACCGGAAAGTGCGCGAAACCGGACGAAACCGAATTTTCTTCGAACTTAATTAGGAGCAATACCGAAGTATCCTCTTTCCAATAAAAAAGAATCATCAAAATCGGTCCACAAATGCCGTTATAGTGAGTTATAGCGTAGTTACACGTAAATGCTTTGTTAAGACTGTCAAAAAAAATGTTAATTTAATTGCTACTTTATTTATGTTCTTTTTTACCAAAGTATAAAATTACTATTTTGTAAAATTACTTGTTTTTTGTTCAGCTAAATGTGCCGGTGATTTGTATATCAACTCTGTGACACATCACACTAATGCGTAGGTAAAAAAAATGCAAAGTAACCGTAATCAGAAATCTCAAGAAATCAGTGCTTCCTTGAAACATCAACTCCCCTTGCAAATGTATTCAAAGATTTATGTCTCCCACAAACCTTCTGAATATTGAACATTTGTGGGATTTAATGTCCTCTGTTTGCCGCCACTAACTGTTTTACTATTTTGCATTCATGCTTTTACTCGCCGGTCGCTACAATAACATTGTGGTCTTCTAACTCTGTCTTTGAATTAGTAATGTTATGTGTATGGTAATTTAGGCACATTATTTCTCATGTTTTGTGAGTTTAACTTAGTATAACAATATGGGCTATCACTGTGGGCTGTTTCTTACACGCCGCGCGTGTTAGACTTAGGTATAACTAACTATAAGAGCGATCATGGTTACCAATCCCTGACACTCTCTGTGTGTTAGACTCAAGTACGTACGAGTATAACAATATAGCAGGTTATTGTGATCTGTTTCTTACACGCTCTGTGTGCTAGACTAAGTTATGACAATATGGGCGGTCATTGTTACCAATCTCTCATACGCTCTGTATATAAAGGTGCTTTTCCACCGGCGAGGCAAGACAAGACGAGAATTGAAATTTGTATGGCAAAATTTTAATTCTTTCCTTGCGTCTTCGGTGGAAATGGTCTGGATTGACGAGGATGGCCGAAGCGAGAATTGAAATATTTGTTGATGGAATATTGAACCGTATTGCTGCCTTGATTATAAGTATTATACACTGCAACGAAAATACGATTACTCGCACGAGCCCGTGAGGAAGAAAAAAGAAGGCTTCATCTGGTTCTTTTTCCGTTAACCTATTTATTAACAATAATTTGTGGTATATGTTACTGAAACCGCGCGTTTATCGCTAGACGAAGTGAACAGCACTGAATTGGTGGACATATCCTGGCCAGATTTCAATTATCATCTCGTCTCGTGTCGTTTCCACGAAATATGGAAAATATGAAAGATTATTGTCACGTATTTCTTAGACGCTGTATGTTTTTGACTTAGATATAATAATATCGGCAATCCTTGTTACCATTCTATCGCACGCCATATCAATTTATGTAAATCGATGTTTCGTAACATCTATTTCATACGAGCAAATTACATTTGAAATCATCAAGTTGATTCCACACCTACTATTATACGTTAGTTATTCATAATTCAATATTATTGGGTATAAAAAATTAGAAGAAACAATGACCACGATACTTAGGCTGAGGACATCGAACGTGGGAATGGCCTATACGTGTCACTATTTCTCACATGACATTAAATTGTATCTTCAACATTATAGTCAATTGATAAACTACCTAAATAAATGAGTGACGATAAATTAACAATTACGACAGTAATTTATTTACGAAATTTTATAAAAATTAAGAGATGACGGTATAACAAATTGAAACAGAGCGCTGAATAAATGGCGCCTATTAAAATATTTTGCCACCGCATCTTATATTAACTTTCGTGTCACAATTTACTCCAGGAGCAACGAAACCTTACTCCATCATCTGTCATTTGAGGATCAGGCTTCTCTGCTGCGTAATTTTTGCCATATATTTTACTTATTAAAAAGATTTTTTCCTAATAATGTTCCTACAGTCAGGGCTGGGCAGATAGAATACAAATATGTTCAAAAATTACTACCTAAAATGTATTTTGTAATTGGTATTATAAATATCTGGAAGGAAAGTATTTTGTAATTGATATTTTAAATAATTTTGTAGTGTTTTCTTTGTTTGATTTATTTTTGTACAACAAAGTTTGTGTAGAACTACATTATTATTATTTAAAAAACCATTAAACATAACAAAATTTTTCCGGATTTAAATCGCGTATATTTGTTTTTTCAAACAAACCGACGTTTCGGGCCCTTTACAGATCCCATGGTCATGGTGGTGCAGTACTAATTAATATGTTTTAGTTTATTCTAATTTCTATTAATAATTAATAATAAATTAAACATAATAAAAATTCATTCAATAAAATAATTTGTAAAACTTAATGTAGCGTAAATTGGAATGTTTTCTTTGTAAAATTAAAAATGAGGTATTTAATTAATAACTATTGTAAATATAGTGAAAAAATAGGGTGGTTTGCATTAATATTAGACATAACTGGTTGAAGACTGTACCATCTCAGTCAACTGTGACCATGGAACCTGTAAAGGGCCCGAAACGTCGGTTTGTTTGAAAAAACAAATATACGCGATTTAAATCCGGAAAAATAGTTTCATTTCCTATGTGTAACAATCGCGAAAACCTAAGAACTCGATACATAACAAAATTGTCAATCATAAAACACATTACTGTCAGATATTTGAAATACCAATTACAAAGTACATTTTTGGTAGTAATTGAAAATAGAGTTCGGTTAGTGGTAATAACAATAATAAATCTTTATTACGGACAACAGGGATCCATGAAGTATTATTAACAAGAATAGTTTATAATTAGGTTAGTACTTAAATTCTACTACGGATTTTGTGGTTGTTATTACATGCCGCATAACGGGCACTTATTCCCCTTCGTGACAGTCTTCAATAGGCCGTTGCTGCTGCCACGTATTCTGTTTAATAAAAACGCCGACTTCTTCCGGTAATGATTGTGTATTAGTTTTAAATAAGTGAGCTCAAAAAACCATATTATGTACTATATACTGTCGACACTCCTTTATTTATGATATCAGATAGTGGTAAGCGGGACATCTATCTGTACCAATTGCAGTGCCACTTAAAGCTTTAAATCGCAAAGATCTGAGACGCACTGTCACAGTTCCCGTCACCGTATGACATAAAATTTACGAGACCTGTATACCTGTAGTGCCACTAGTGTCTTTATCCTTCAAAACTGAAACGCAGTAATGCTCACATTGATACTGAGGTGCTTGCTTTTGCTTGGCGGTAGAAATAGGTATGATGGCAGCACTCCCTTAGATAAACTTTTTCACAAGAAACTCTACTGGTACTAAATGAAAGTATATTATATTTCGTATTTTAATTCAAGTGTTACACGTATATGGTCATTTCAATCTCTAGCCCTGCCTACAGTTATATCTTAATAAGAATCGTCGTCGAACATTTACAACACAGAATATTTAATAGCATATCTTATTCAGTGCCATCCCCTAGCAACAAACCAGTGTACTCAGATACATTTCAATCACAATTATTAAAGTGTTGACAAACTAACTTATATATTCATCTTTTGTCGGTACAGAGGAAATCGGTCCGCCGTCAGAACTTTTTGACCTGAACATGCTGGTGATTATCTGCAGCTCCATCCTGCTCGTCATTTGTTTGATGGCCTTCATTTGCATATTGCTCAGAAGACATCGGTGAGTCTTTGTTGTTTTATATGATTGTGGGTTTAGGTTAACATTCATGAATAGAAGGCTGACTTTTATATTACTTTTATTCGACAACTTAATTATAATTCACAACAATTCAAGTAGAGAACATATCTATCAAAGTGAAGAAAAAACAAAGACAAAAAAGGCGCGCAAACTGCGTTATTTAACGGCTTCGCCCGCCACACCATCCCCCACGGAGAAAGGTAAAATCACCAAATTTTAAACTTTACACACCTACCGGATCGAGAGACGTATGGGTTTGCAGAGGCTGAAAATCCAGGAGATTTCTTAATCGCTGCAGAAAACTCTGGTTGAGGTGATGCATCAGTTACAGGAGGCTGGTGTTGGTCTGTCTAATCTGGAGTAGTCTCTTTAGTCCTAATAGTGTATGGGTTAGTTAATGGTTGCTCAATAAAAGCAGGTTTGAGTCTGTCGACACTTACTATGACTGGTTTTCCCTTAAAATCGATAGTAATGGTTTTATCATCCTCAGAACGATTAAGAACTGAGTACGGTCCCGTGTATGGGAGCTGTAATGGATGCCGAACAGCGTCGTCCCGTAGAAATACGTGAGAGGCGTGAGACAGGTCCTTAAAGATAAAAGACGTGGGTTGTGTGTGACAAGACGTGCCGACAGGTCGAATGTTCGACATGTGACGGCGTAGTCGGACAACTAGATCAGTCGCGTCTTCGATTCTGTCAGGTCCGGGTGCAGGTACCAACAAGTCACCAGGGAGGCGCAAGGTTTCGCCGTAAAGCGCGGCGAAGCGGTTGCTTTAAGGTCCTCTTTAAAAGCCGACCTCATACCCAATAGCACGAAAGGAAGGGCATGGACCCAGGAGTTACCGTGGCATGTAAGAGATCCGGAATGGCTCAAATTATGGAGCTTATCGAAAATAGCTCGGCGAAATTCGGGAGTGACATAGGGCCGAGGCTTGCTTGTTGAAAGATCACAGATTAAAGAGAGATCGGTGCCAAGGATTATAACTTTGGTAAGTTGGAGGCTGGTAGAATTATTCTCCAAAGGTCTTAGGAGTTCTTCATCCGACTTTTGTGACTTGGATCCTCGTATTAATGGAAATGGAAATGGAAGGTCCTCGTATTCCTGCTCCAGGGTGATAGCGTTAATCCTAGACATGGTATCAGCCACATCGTTGTCATCGCCTTTGATGTGTTTTATGTCAGTCGTAAACTGACTTATAAAGGAGAACCGATTGAGTTGTGCCGGAGCGAGCTTCTCTCGGCGCTGTAAGAAGGCGTACAGCAACGGTTTGTGGTCTGTAAAAATAGTGGCGTGCTGGACCTCGACGATGTAACGGAAATGCTGTGCGCTTTCGTACACCGCCAAGAGTTTTCTATGGTAGGTGGGCCACTGAGACTGCTGAGGCGTCAGCTTCTTGCTAAAGAATGCAAGAGGAAACCATTGTCCACCAATTTGTTGCTGCAAGCAAGGGCCGACGTGTACGTATGAGGCGTCAGTAATAAGACCCAGCGGAACATCTCTAACAGGATGTTGTAGTAAAGTCGCATCAGCCAAACTCTTCTTACACGCCTCAAATTTCTCGAGCAATTCCGGAGACCAAGGAAGGGTTTGGCTCCCTTACTGTTGGTAGAGACAAGAGCATCGATTAAAGGCGCCTGGTATTGAGCGGCGTGAGGGATAAATCGGCGATAATAATTTATCATTCCAAGGAATCGCCTCATGCCATGTACAGTTTCAGGTGGTGGAAAACCCATCAGATGTTGAACCCTGTCTTTAGGAGGGCGAGTGCCCTAGTGCATTGATCAAATTGCCTAAGAAAACAACCTCGTTGGCACCAAGAACGCATTTCGAGGGGTTTATGACCAGCCCGTGTTTCTGGAAACGCTCTAAAAGAAGGCGCAAATAATCCTTGTAAGTAGCAGCATCCCAAGAGAAAACTAAGACGTCGTCTACGTACGGAAAACAGAAATCGAGACCCCGTGTGACCTCATCGATAATACGTTGGAAAGTTTAACCAGCGTTTCGTTAGCCGAAGGTCATAAAAGGAAATTTGAAGAGGCCAAACGGGGTAAAGATGGCTGTTTTCGAAATGTCGTTCTTAAAAACGGGAATCTGATGTTATGCCTTCATAAGGTTTATAGTGCTAAAAACAATAGCACCAGCGAGGCTATTGGCGAAGTCATTGATGTGCCTAACAGGATATCAGTCCGGGATTGTCCTAGCGTTTAAAGCGCGGTAATCGTCACATGGACGCCAGGTGTTGTCCTTTTTAGGCGTCAAATGCAGAGGAGACGCCCAAACACTTTCGGAAGAACGGGCAGTGCCACATTGAACCGTGTATGTAATTTTAACGGCTTCGCCCGGCACATGATAGTCTTAACTACGTTGTTCGGTGTTATGCCACTAGATGGTACCTCAAAATATACCATGAAATTTTATATGGAAATTAGTCAGTTTCTAAAATAGTGTGCGCATTCTATTGAAATTGGTAGAACAATCAACTAATATTAAGGTGATTTTCCACCGGCTAGGCGAGACGAGTATTGAAATTTATATAACAAAATGTCAATTCTCTCCTAGCCCATCTTCGGTGGAAATGGTCTGGACTCACGAGTATGGGTCAAGCGAGAATTGAAATATTTGCTGCTGTAATACTGAACCGTATTGCTGCCTATATAGAGTATTATACTCTTTAACGGAACACGGTTTCTCGCGCGAGCTCGCGCATTCTCGCGAGTGCTCGCACGGTCTTGCGTGAGCTCGCGCGTGTTCATCAACATTCACCATCACATTCAACAAAAATCGCGAGATTGTGGGGTACGTACGATTTGAGATTTAAAAAAAGATGGTTTCATCTGATTTTTCTTCCGTTAATATATTTAATAATAATAATAATTTACAGGTCATGTTACTTCAGCCGCGTATTTATCGCTGAACTGAACAGCACTAAATCTTTACTATCCACAATCACCGCGCGAGCTCGCACGAGATCGCAATGGCTCGCGCGTGCTATTAATGGCAATTTTTGGTGAAACAGGCCGGCGAGATTTCTATTCTCGTCTCGCCTCGTCTCGTAACAACTCATTAGTGGAAAACTATCATTATCCTTAGCCCAAATGTGAGCAAACAATGTAATGATGTTTTTACTGCGACTGTGTAAAGATTCATTCATCAACACTCGTTATACAGGGTGATTTTTATCACTAGCTAAATTTAAATATTAGGATCGTTGATGAAAATATAAAATACGTTTGTTTTTATTTTTAGTTTAGTACCCAGTACTAAAATGTTCAGATATGACCTCACAACTTTATCAAAAAAAAACGGCCACGATTTTACTACACGTAACACACCGCCGATACTATTGTAACATTCCCCGCGCCTCAGCTTAGCCCTCTGCCCACGCGTCGTGATCGTACTCAAGGTCTACGGTCTACGGTCTATTTCGGCGATGGGTCAGTGGCGCGTGCTAATTATGCTTGATTAAAAACTAAATAATAATAATAACGCAGACACTCAACATATCCCCGCACTAGGGAAACCCTGTGTCGCGGGTGCCGTGGACACACACATAGACATCCACAAATTACACCCAAACTCACGAGAGAAATAAATGTAGGCCACACAAACATTTATCCCGGCCCGGGAATCAAACCTGGGACCACTGCGTGGCAGTCCGGCATGGTAACCGTTTGGCCACGGAGGCAGTTAACCTCTATCATAACATAACACCCACAATTGTTAAAAAAAATATACATAAATAACATCTGCATTACGTATTTGTTTTTCACGATCTATGAGGATAAATTAAAATATCAATATTCAATAATAAATGTTGCTACACTTATTTTCTTTAATCACGGCCTACAGTCTGGCAACGTTATTTTTATAACTTCAAAATTTCTGTCTTTCAAAAGCCTTTGAAAATTGTCTCAAAGTATTCATCCCTATAATACAGCTGTGCTTAAAAACTCCATCCATCTATTAAATTGAGCCAACAGTGATTGATGGGCTCTCTTGATGTATGATGTAAGACCCTGACCCAGAAAGACTGATTACGTACAGTTTAATAAAGTTGTGAAACTATCCGTAAAATATTAAAGAGATGATTTTAACAACCTGTAATACTTTTGAATAGTTATTACTTTCATTTCCAAAATTAACCGCGATTATGTTGAATTGTCACTCCAAATCGATAATACTTAGAAAATACCTACCTCAAATTTTCAAACTTAAACTCACATCACACACATTTTCAATCTTCATTACATTGATTAAACTCTCCTATTCTTTCGTAAGTCAAATTTCCTTGAGAAGAATAAGCAGTAAGCTCTAGGGGTTACTTTTGTAATTAAATGTCTTCACTTTCCTAATATTTATTTCAAATATCCATAACAAACAAAAGAAACAAGGCCGTCGAGACCGTTCCAACCTGGTCGGGTTCGGTCTGTAGACCCCTTGAGACGTAACTGGTTGATAACTTTAGTGTCTCGGTCAGCCGTGACCGACTTAGATCCGAAAAAAATTGATTTCAATTTTTAAGATTATTGAATGTCACGATGTTTGACCTGAAATTACTCCACTAGTTTGTTATAATTATTAACACAAAGATCGAACACTTACAAAAGAGTCCTTTGATCCAGCTGGATTCGAGCCAACGTCATCCAGCAAACCGTATCAGACACTATGCCAACTAAGCCACGGAACGAACTATCGACCTTACGAATTTTTCTATGTTGCAAATCTTTGTTTTTGGTTTTTAACGACTTTTTTGCCGTAACGCCATCTGTGAGAAATCTATTTACCTAAAAAGTATTACATTATTTTTTGTGAAGTTACTGCGATCTAACTCGAACTTTAAAAACTTGGTCGGCTAGAATATCATATTTGTTTATAAGGCGTATTTTAATTCAAAATAAATGAAATAAAAATTTTATAAAAAGAAAATATTTCCAAAATTAGCCCTACCGGGACCAGTCTCCTGCACCAGTAGCCACGGTGCAAAACGTTGGACCATTGAGGCCTATAACTAAGATTCTTATATCAAAAACCCCTTTCCAATGCATAGTTACTTAGGAGATTGACTGTATAGAAATTTGTGTGATATCTTCTTTGTAGCGAGGCATTATCCTAGTGAGTAAGAACACTATTTTTTTTTTCGTTTGTATCGTATAATTATAATAAGACAAGAAATGCAACTTCCTCCTGTTCGGAGCGTAGGGTTGTCACATTATTATTGCAGTTTTACTAAGTGTAATAAGGTAATTCATCACAGTATTCTCGTGTTATATTGAAATAACCTTTGTCAAATGAGGTACTAAATACAAATAAAAAAATGATAATAAAATGTTACACAGTTCCGAATTTAGGCCCTCGCATTCAAACAATCATAAACACAACAATAAACACCTCCACTCTTTGATGTCATTTTTTAAACACCGAAAGAATGCTTCAATTCTATAATGAAAGGCGCGTGAGACGACCCGCGTTATGCAACGCAAGTGCCTCGTGAGATTGTGCAGATGTCTGTGTCCGTATACTAGAGATGGGTCGTCGACGCATTTTCCATTAACGAAACGTCACCGTCCGTCGTCGACGGTCAACTAGTCAAATAGTTAAATTCGTCAAATAATCGATCAGTCAACTTAGGTTGATTTTCGTTTTATGGACGATTAAAGAAGAAGAAGAAAGAAGACGAAGAAACGGTAAATTGAATCAACTAAGTAGGTATTGAGAATTTGAACTATTGTAACGGAATTTAAACTATTTTTTTCCGGATCCAAATCCGGAAATAAAAAACCCCAAGACGTTGGGCTTTTTTGGAAAGTTCAAAATAATTTGTTTATGGAAGTCTACGTATAATTCGACTAAGTTCGCGTAGAGCCTTGATTAACGCGTGGACTATTCGTTTAGCCGTCTACCAATGCTACTATAATTAACGAATTAAACTAGTTAATCGAAGAACGGTAGACCGTAGAACGTCGATTGGACGTGAACTGTTCAGTAAAGTAGTTCGTCCATTCGACGCTGGTCTCTGTACGTGTATAGCGCGCGGCGGGCGTGCACACATACAAGCCGAGCTGCTACGTTTTACTTGTTTATTATAATATTATATTTGTGTTTTGCAAAAATATATACCAATAGCAAACACTTAATACCAACAGGCAAAGTTACGCGTCGCAATATCGCCACTCGATCGCAGATGAAGTGAAATCGAGAAACGAAAGTGTGGCCTCACATTCGGAACACAAAGAGCGATACGTGCACGCGCAGAGGATCTATACATCACCTATACACACTAGGAAGAATAGTAAGAACGGTAAGTATTGCTCCGAAAGAAGTTTTTGGTAAACCTTGAAAATAGAAATTTACACTGATAAAACAATATGTTTGGAAAAAACCAAATGTTTAAAATTTAGATGATCATCTTGTTTCCTAGCAACATGTTAAATGCCTATTCTTTATCTTATCGTATCGATGGCATACACTATAATGCTTGCCATTCAGAGCCTATGAACCGCAATGATTGCAGTAACCAGTTTAGTAGCAGTAGAGTTCTTTGTGAAAGAGTTCATTCAGAGACATACTGCTACCTTACCTATTTCTGCCGCCAAACAGTAATACGAGGAATACTGCGTTTCGGTTTTGAAGGGTAGTGGTGTTGGTGAAATTACAGGCACATGAGACTTGCGAACTTATGTCTCAGGTGGAGTTATGTTATGACTGATTGCACCAACCCTGATAGGCTAGATAATTTGATTAAACTCCATAATTTTCAGTGTAGATGATTTATACTTGTCTCTGGAGCTTTTTCTAGAAGCACCAGGCGATGTAGATATTTTGAAGTTTTAATTTACATAACCGTGGAATGGAACAGAAGCGTATTTTTTAATCACAGCATAACGAACTTTATGTCAAATTGTGTAACGTGCAAATTAAAAACTCCAAAAAACAGATCGCGCGTCTTCTAGTAAATTCTATTCCTCTGGAATTCCCGTAGCTACCGTATCGTATCCAGTTTTTACAGTTTATTATGCTACTTATATACAATTTTGTTTCAAAAATTCGCGTCCATTGTGTTCAGCGGCAATGTGAATTGAACCTAAGTACTGTGTCTACTTTTTCGGCCATATTACTAAAAGTAACATATTTGTAGAACCGAAGGGGAAAAAGCTTTGGTCATCTAGTGCGTCACGACAGGTTTTTTAGAAACATAATAGAAGGGAAGGTCGAAGGAAAGAGAGGCAGAGAAAGACCGAGACGAAGTTATTTAGATCAGATAAAGGAAAAGAAAACTAAAGCGCTAAACAGAGATGATTGGCGATTACTCCACCGACAAGAGCCTAGCTCTTTAATAAGAAGAAGCTACATATTTGTAGTATGTTTTTATCATTTTTACGTTCAAGTTGTGAACGGATACAAAATCATCCAAGCGTCATTTGAATTTGAATGATCCTTTCTATTTGTCTACAGAAATGTTCGAGATAAGTCCATACGCAGAGTTTGCTCTTGGGTTCCGGACGTTCGATCATGTGGAGAACCAGGACTTGCCCAGTCGACTGCCCAGCAGACCCAGATTTGATACTGGTAAGTGGATATATTTTGTAACAGCTTTTAAATCTGTACAAAGCACAAGTTCGATCATGTTTGGAGTACTGCTGCCTTTGGGACGGCTCGGCCCATTACCAGTTA